CACTTGTTGTCCACATGACGTTTTAAACGCCACTTGTTGTCCACATGACGTTTTAAACGCCACTTGTTGTCCACATGCCGTTTTAAACGCCATTTGTTGTGTACATGCCACTAATCAGCTGTGGCAGGTGCCGGTGCCACAAAAGGAGCCTGCCCTTACTGGAGAGTATGGTAGATAATGCAGATAGCAATGCGGGTCAGAACAAATACGTTTAGTCTTTTAGGTAATAATGTTTAGCAGTAATACAGATACAAGTGAGCTCTAAAGTCCAAAATGCAGGTCAGTCTCCTATATAACAGTTACATTTTAAAACATTTTTCATCACATATGCATGGTTTGTCATCCTTCCACAAATCTACCGCCGTTCTTGTTTGAACAGCGGTATCTCTGCTGTAACGACGTACACTCCCTGCCGTGAGACCGGTGCATGTTGGGAATTCCTCCGTGACACCTCCGCTGGCAGCTCTGTCATGTCTTTTGTCTCCTCTGAGCCTCCACTGACACCACACACCGTTACATGTATCCTTATGAGGGCCCGGCCTCTTGCTTTTACAGGGGCCCTTGTCTCACGCAAACAGCCATGTCCCAGGTGCAGGAGCTGGAGTGCGATTTATAACTGTCACTGTCTCTGTGTCCGGGGATGAATCCTCAACTCAAAGCTCTGCTACTTCCACTGAGAGATGTACTAAGCGCTGGTGTCAAATGCAGGATACATCTTAAAACAATGTTGAATAGCGGTAATTAGCGTGGATCCGAGAAAGGTGGAATAATGAATTAGGTTATGTGTTTTTTTATCATTGCGTTTCTTGAGTTTGAACTGTTTGATTCTCTGATCTGTGTTGGTGAATTCAACGGTTTAGTTCTCCGTGATAACTATTGTTGTGATTTCGGGCTATACAAGAATACTTTGAATTTAATTGAGTTTTTAATTTTTTTGGGATTGGTGCTTTCTATATAATGGTTTATTTAGTAGAACAAATACTGGACACTTTTTACACCATTCAAAAAGCAGTTTGTTGAAAAAGTATAAAAAAATAATTAATTCACATATATAAGTAATAGAAATGCATTTACCATTTCACTTCATTAAGTAATAGGACCCTGTATAATAACACTTTAATGTTTGTGTCTGGCTATAGGAATCAGTAAGTTCTATTTGTTCTGATCCACAACTTTTATTTTCAAGTAAGAAGAAACGCTTACATGCACTGGTCCCCGGCAGAAACAACCGACAATATATAAAAAATGTTGAAATGAAATAAAATACTAAAGAAATGAAAGATCCCGTCTAAAAGTCTGTTATCTTTCGACATTGCCTGGGTTTATATTGCTGTTCCACAAAGCAATAGTTCTCTCCTTAGTACCGTGCACTCTCGCTGTGGACAGCTCCAGATAAGTGTCGTGGCTTCCAACTTGTGGAGACATATTTTTTTGGTGGCCATAATTCCTACCAGCTGCTAAATCCCAGCTGAGAGAAGACCTGCAGAAGTCAACCCTTTCAGGATGGATAGATAGATAGATACTTTATTGATCCCTGTAGGAGAAATTCAACGCAAGTGTCCAGTAGCAGCAAAAATAAAAAAAATAATTTATCATTCTAAAAATATAACAATAGTAATAATCAGCAACAGTCCTTCGGGTCACAGCAGCAGAGGTGGGGTAGCCTCTGGGTGGAGCAGGACGGGTCAGAGCAGCAGAGATGGAGTAGCCTCTGGGTGGAGCAGGATGGGTCAGAGCAGCAGAGGTGGAGTAGCCTCTGGGTGGAGCAGGATGGGTCAGAGCAGCAGAGATGGAGTTGTCTTTGGGTGGAGCAGGACGGGTCAGAGCAGCAGAGGTGGAGTAGCCTCTGGGTGGAGCAGGATGGGTCAGAGCAGCAGAGATGGAGTTGCCTCTGGGTGGAGCAGGACGGGTCAGAGAAGCAGAGGTGGAGTAGCCTCTGGGTGGAGCAGGACGGGTCGCAGCAGCAGAGGTCACAAGGTGGAGTAGCCGCTTGGTTCGGACCATTTTCTCTGCTCTGGTCCAAAGTAAAATGCTAAATGCTTCATTAGCATTTTTCAAAAAGTCAGCATTCCTCGATGAAGGATGAATGATTTTGTGTTTGTGAGCGCGACTGTCGGACAATGGATGGAAATTAGCGCGCATAGGATCATCCGCCGTTCATGAATACACAAACAAACGAGGTAAAAGGACCAGGGAGAGCAGGGGTCAGGCACACCAGGAGGAAGCTCTGAGCACTACCACCATCTCTCACTACTGAGCGACCTATGCACTGAAAGAAGTGATCGAAAATAAAAACAAAAATGCTAAAATTTGTCAGATTGTATCTTAATTTGAACATAATAAACGAGAGGATTTGAAAGTGAAAATAAAGCAACAGTCCTTGAAATAATACTAAATGGCTTGTTTTCCCTTTGGTAAATCTTGTTTGGAGACAGTCAGAATGTACACAAATTTGACAAAAAACACTCGATTCAAGGAACTATTACCTCTTATTGTATAACTTTTTTGCAGTATGGTCACTCCCAGACTATGTGGAAGTAAAGGTCACCACTTTAAGCGCACATTGGATCTGCCTTATACTTGTAAGTAGGGCTGGGCAATAAATCAAATTCAGGTAATTAATCGGAAAAAATTTGAAAATTGAAAATTGAAAAAATCAAATTTGTGAAAAATGTGAAAATCGTGAAATCGAATTAAGATTATTGTGAGAGTTCCAGCAACACCTGAATTATACTTGCACTATCAGCACAGTCTGTACAAGACTTTTAAGATACGTATTTGGGGAAAAAAAATTAAAAAATAGCTTCTGTAATATTGAGCGGAAAGATCAAAACATATTTTTACTGGAAAAGCCTGTCTACAGTGACTTTAAAATCTAAATCGTCCAAAGCAGGAGATAAAATTGAGATATAACTTTTTTGCCATATCACCCAGCCATACTTGTAAGTCTACATGATGTTAAGAAACGGTTCAGATAGATCTAATGGTGCATGATCCATCCACAGGTACATTTGGAAAGCCGGATGTTACTTGCAGCTCTCTAAAACCAATGCTAGCTACTGTATGTCAGTCCCAAAACATGAGAATACATTTTAGAGATTACCCTCTTCACATATCCCATCTACACACTTCAACAAGGGTCGTGGCTTTAAAGGGGACCGTTGAGGAACTCGTGTTTTCATGGCGGCTAATCCCCAAATATTCCACTCACAATTGACATTCTCCCAGGTGCAAGGAAGAGGCAGGATGTGAAAAGTGGTGACAGACACTTTGATAATGAGAGTGGGCGGAACAAAGCTCTAATCACCCGGTTGTGGTTGTAATATGCAGGAGAAATGTCAACGCGTGAACACGGCTTTGTAAAGAGTAGAAAGGAACAATAGAAGCATGGAAGCAGGTGCATACACTGATGTCTGCCAGCTTTAAGCTTGGGAGTACTCCAAACTGTCAACCTTTGCTGTCACTGGAAAGCAATCTTATAGAGGTGCACACTATGTACTATAACCAACCATTTTACTGTACATTTTGTGCTAGTCTCACTTTTTTATTTGCAATTATTTTTACACATTTGAGTAATCTCTTTTATAATGTATCCTTCACCTACCTATTGTCACCCAATCAAATTCAATCGGTGGCCGGTAGAAGTGAATGCTGATTCAATGCAATGCTACTATAGATAATATAAATAGATTTGTTCTTCTGGGTGATTGAGACTACAGTTTGGAGCACCTATTGAATTGTCAAAATACAACTGTTTGATTCTGTATATAAAAACCCCAAAGCTCTCAAAAAATTTGATATAGTATTAAAACTTAACACAAAGACTCTATTCCTCTAGTTAGAATCTTCAACACGTGTTAAACCGCTCTTAAAATACACCCATTCAGAATGGCCTATTCACTATGACCCTACACTTCACTGTCCATTTTTATATGTATGCTTTTAACAGTTTTGGCTTTTAAATGTTTACCTTTTGTAAGGTCAAAGATGCCATATATATACAACGTATTATTATTGTCATTAAAGCGAGATATTTGATTTGAATTGCACATGTCTGGCCTTTCAAGAAGCACTTTGTGTAGAGCACATTATAAGCCTTTCACATGTCACTAAAGGCTTTTATATACAGTATGCCTTTGCAAATGATCTCTTCACTTGATTATCTTTGTCTGGCTACATTTTTCTCATAAATCAGAAATACTACCAACATGGTTACTTTCATCTGCATTATCGTTGCATCTGTAAGAGTCAAGTGACCCACAGGGCTCATTCTTTCAAGTATACAAAAGATAAAGATAAAGATTGATGAAGACAGCATGTCGTGGCCTGATTTGCTCACAACGTTTGACTTTTAAAGAGGCTCTGTTGGAACAAAGATGTATTGTTTATGAAGGAAAAGAAAATGGGTAACCCAGCTTTAAGAACGCATAGTGTCATGTTGTATTGGACACATGTCTATTGTGTGTTCTTAGTGCGACAGTAGCTCAGTTGGTAGAGCAGTAGCCTTTGAGCCTGGAGGTCGTGAGTTCGATTCCCACCATGGGACCTGCTCTCACTGATCTCTACTGTTGTTGTGTCCTTGGGCAAGACACTTAACCCCACGTTGCCTGAAGATGACTGCACTTCACCAGAGCAGCCATCTTCCTGTGGACTCACCCCCTGCAGAGGATCAGCGAGGGACTGGTGCTATGAGCATTGGGTGGCAGCTCTCATTACCACCCCCCTGACCCAGAAATGGACAATAACGGGCTTGAAAATGAATGAATAACTTGTTTGCACCCAGAGCCAAAGCAATTTCCTAGTGTGTGTCTTCCTGTTACTCACAACGGCAATCCAAATACAGATTCTGAATATTGATTTTCTATGAGCTTTTACTTGCTGTCACATTATGTCCCATCAACTATTCCTTCCATCCGACCCCACATTCTCGCCCTCTGCCCATCATCCTTGTGGTCCTATTGCCCCCTGCTGACCTCCTGATTGTGCCTGTGCTGTTGCAGGGGACTTGGGATCGGATGACGAGTTCCTGGAGATCCCGTCTATCAGCCGACAGAGAGCCGGGACGTACGAGTGTTCGGCCTCCAACGACATCGACACGGACGTGCAGACTGTGGACATCACCGTCAACTGTGAGTACTGAGCAGCTGTCAAATGTGCTATGTACAAACAGATTACTGACTTACTTACAGGGAAATAGAGGATTTTTTCAGATGTTGGGAAAGAACCTCCCTCTACTCTTTTCAACGCCTACTAAAACGTGTGTGAGAGACGTGCACAAGCCCAGTTCTCAGTCACTGTCGCTCACACAAGCTCACTTTCTCAGCACTTTTTCCACTTTGTCAGACAATATAGACGTAAATGACTTTTACTGGAAGTGATTTGAAATGGATTTCTCTCCAACTTTACCTGTCGAGACATGTCTACTCAATGCAACACATTTCCAAACAATCCAATACAATTCAGAAAAAAATTAGGCTTTTGGTGCCTTATCTAATACCCAGGCCCATTTGAACAGAAATATTCATTTATTTTTTTGTATTGAATATGAGCTGTTATTAAAGTCAAACTATAAAAACAAAATAAATCGGTATTGTTTTGATGAAAAATTATGTTTTATCTTTTAAAACTCAGTATAAATCAAAACTCAATAGCACACCTCTTATAAGGAAACCTCAATTTTATTCAATGGTGACGATCTGGGACATTTAATGACATTTATTATCATTTATGGACATAGGTCATCTGCCGCTATAGACCTGCCTCATATTCAGATTCAGATTCATTTATTTGCCATTTGCAGTAAAACCACATTGGAAAAACTGTGCAAGACTACCCCAGTGTGCACCAGACAGAGAAGACGACACACACCAGAGTTCTTGCCACAGCGCCATCTTTACGCCATGCGACAAACAGTAGAATAAACTCCTAAATATGTGTTCAAACTCTGCGTTTCTCTGATCTGTTGTTGGCAAATACTGAATTGTATTAAATGTAATCAGACATTGACATGACGCTAAGTCCAGTACAGACCAACCTGAACAATGGATTATTTCAGAACGATGCTGTGAACGTTCTCTTCCACGTTCTCTATGCTATCTCTATGCTATCTTGTTCAGCACTTTGAGTTGCCTTGTGTATGAATTGTGCTATACAAATAAACTTGCCTTGCCTTGCCTTCCACAGAACTGAACAGGATGTTGCTCCCTGCATGTAAAATCCACATCTGAACCTGTTTCATTGCAACCAGGTGTTTTCTACACTTTGTTTTCAAATCAAACATATGCTCAACATGGCATCGCAAATATGTTTCTGGCTGAAATATTTCCTGCAGGCAAAAAAAAATTTCAAGCATGTATCAACTTTTCTACCTGTCTGTACTTAATTACCAGAGAGTAAAAAATAAAGTCGATCTTTGCCTCGCTGACATTTCTGCTTTTTTACCGAACGCTGCTTTTATCTCTGAAATATCTTGTCAAGGTTGCGTGGAAATAAAATAAAAAACATCATCCCAACTTTTAAGTACATTTGAATTAAAGTCTTAACAAATGTGAAGGCAATGTAGGATGTTTTCTTTGTGAACTATTTGATGATTAAGGCAGATGCAGATATAGCAGGTCACATCTCTGGCGATTCATAAACTTAACGAAACTCTATTTTGAAGCAAAGTGTAAAAGTATTCATAACTTAATACCTCAGTAAGAACTAGTTTAAAAATTGGTGTTTTTTCTTACATATTATAGGTACTTGCACACTTTTCTCACATCTTTTTGAAAATATTAGGAGGAAATAATCATTTACTGTTTATTGGTCCCTCGCCATAACACGGTTCACCTTTCGCTGTTTTGTTGTATGTTGTTGTGGTCAATTTTGCATGATTTTTACAACTATCAGGTTTTATATATCTGCCTTTGCACTTCAGCAGTCGTGAGTTCAGGTTAGAAAAGTGTATAAAATGTGTGGTGAGGGGTTATATACAGACCCTCATCACCCTCTCATACATTAAGGATGAACCCTGCAATTATCTACTGTATTTAAGCTTGAAATACCCAGATTCCTGACAAGGTTACATCATTTCTTCTGGGAGGAGTGGGTCAAAATTCCTCTAATTTACTGTCAGAAGCTTGTCGAAGGCTACTCAAAATATTTGGCCAAAGTTAGCCAGTTTAAATGCAATTCTACCCATACACATAATTTCATCCTAAAAACAGGGAAATGTGTGTGTGTGTGTGGGGGGGGGAGCACAACTACATTTATGTCAAAATCAAACATGGTAAAGCGCTGGTTGTCAATGTGACCCATGGCCTGATCTCCTGGGCTGACATGCGCCTCCTGGTGTTGCAGATGCCCCCACCGTGTTAGAGGGCAGAGATGTGGGCGTCACCCTGGGACAGCGAGGAGTTCTGGAGTGTGAGGCGGACGCCGTTCCGGAGGCCGACTTTGAGTGGTACAAAGACGACAGGAGGTGAGTGCTGTGGATTTTTAATGTGGTGCTACAAAATGGTAATACTGTGAGATTTTACATATCTATTTGCTCGTGAATTTTTGTCTCAATTAGGAAATATTACACATTATTAATTAATGTATTTGACAGGTTATGGATAAGGTTATCCACATATATAACACATATATCCGCATGGGGCAATTCATCTGCATCTGACCCTGGGGACCCACCTTTTCAAAGTTTCAAAGTGTGTTTATTTCGAGCAAATAAGTGTACAGGAAACAAAAGTAGAATATCAAAATTGTGTATAAATAACCCTGAGCTACATTTACACAGTGATGGGCAAGCTACTTGATTTGTGTAGTGAGCTAAGCTACAAGCTACTCTACAAATTCTATAAATTCAGCTTCACTACACAGAAGCTACCACCCATACAAATGTAGCAAGCTAAGTTACAGAATTCTGTCAAAAGTAGCTTGCTATATAGAAGCTATTTTCAATTAAACAAACTGCAGTTCATGCAATTTTATATTTTCCTGCATTAACATCTTTGCTCAATTCTTATTTTTTGCACAATTCTTGAGTGTTTTATCCATGCCAAATGTGACATGTACATTTCTCCTGTGTGAGATTAATAAAGCTTATCTTCTTATTTGAGATAAACTGTCAGTCAGATAAAGGTTAAAATTTTGTACTGTAGATATTTATTGAACAATAGCCCAAAACACCAAAAACAACAAAGAGTAGGCATCTGAAAACATATTTATTTTCGCTCATCTCGACTAGAGTGACGTACTTTTGGAGGTATGGCCACGGTACAACACTTTGAGAGTCCTTATCATGGTCCTCCTCCACCGCGGCGGCTCCTGGGCTCTCTGCCATGCTTTTGCTTCCCCCAGTAGCGCGCACGCATGTGTGTGTGCGTGTCTGCGTGCGCATACGTTTGTGTGTGTGTGTCGTTACCAAGCCCTGCGCATGCGCATCAGCATTCTGTCTTTCTATATGTTTGTTTTATGCTGCGGGAAAATGCTGTAATATATGAACATCAGAGATGTCCGTGAGAAAATAGCTTTGGCGGACGCTACCGCGCTACTTGAGCAATAATATAGCTTAGCTACAGAAAAGTTACTAGGTTTTGTAAATAGTGACGCTACTGTCAAGCTACTGAAAAATGTAGTTAAGCTAGTAGCGACGCTACTTGTAGCGACGCTACTGCCCATCACTGCATTTACATTATACAAAATTATAAATGTTATATACACAAAAGAAACACTTTCAGATACTCGAAAAGGAGTGGGGAGAAGAAAACTTATTTAATCCCACCCCTGGTGCCTTAAAGAAAAATACAAAAAAAACATTCATTGAGCTTCCTATTTGCTCCAGTACAAGAACAAAGCAAATGGCACATTTGAATCAACTGTTCAAGTTTTAAAGTAGCAATTAGTGGGTTTAAGGACTTATAAAGACAAGATACATATTACAAGGATGCAAAACAACTGCATGAGGGAAATACCAGCAATGGTAAAAGACAGTAAATACCAATATGGTACATTGGGACAGCAAATACCAACAGTGGTAAGGACATGATACAGCAATGGTAATGAAACAACAGGGGCAGTTACAAGTTACAAGGAAGAGGACATGACAAAATGGAAATATATTCAAGGCATATTCTCTCTATAGTCAGACCAAACATTGTTTTTATATAGTGACTTAAATCTGTGAATGTCTTGGCATTGTTTTAGTTGGAGATCTAGAGCATTCCACAATTTCACACCACATACAGTCACACAGAAACTTTTACGAGTCGTTCGGAATTTTGGGATTATAAGACCTAAGACCTCTTAGATTATATGTTTTTTCTTTAAGAATAAAATATTGTTGTATGTTACTTGGTAGCAATTTGTTAAATGCTTTGAATAGTACAATTGATGTGTAGAGCTTAATAAGGTCAGGAAACTTAGATTGGGTAAAAAGTTCATGAGTGTGAAATCCTATCCTCCAACATACTGTAGGATTGTACCGTGTGCATGTTTTTAGTGGTGGGGGAAAGCAGAGCACCTGGAGGAAACCTGAGCAGACACGGGGAGAACATGCAAACTGGGATTCGAACCCAGGACCTTCTTTCCTGCTGAGAAGCGACAGTGCTATCCGCTCAGCCACCGTGCCGTACGTGACCAAACTAAGCTCTGTGACCTCAAGATCTCACTCTTTCCTGAAACATTGTGTTATGGAACAAACTTTGCTTTGTGTAAAAACAAACATGAAGCACCATCTGTTCTCTTTAAATATTCATGTAAACGTGATGGCTCTTTCCCCAGGCAGTTCAATTCAAACACCTTTTCTTTTATGCTTGTGACATACACAGAACACTCTTGCATCTGAAATCCTTCTAAGCGTGTTGTGTGTATGACCTGTTCCTCGCAGAATTCTCAACGGTTTGGACGGCCTGGAGATTGTGACTTCCGGATCCCTTTCCAAGCTGACCTTCTTTAACGTGTCCGACGGAGACTACGGCAACTACACCTGCCTGGCCATCAACAAACTGGGAAGCTCCAACACAAACTTTCTGCTCTATGGTAAGGAATGCTAAATATATACGTATATACAGTATATGCTCAAATGGGTTAGGAATTTGTCCCTTTTTAACCTTTTAAGAGTTTTCTCAACAATTTGGTATATTTCCTTTTGAGCCACTTTATTTACTTTAAGCTTGGACCTGAAATCTAACTCTTTGGGGTATGTCACTTGGTTTTAGGCACTTTTACCACCAAACTGCATCTCAACCATTTGGTAAAGGCCTATTCTTGGGTTTCATTTGACGTCAGGGCAGTGGCGCGAATAACAAACGTAGGACAGGACGTGACGTATCCTGACTGTGCAGTCTGCCGGGTTTATACACGGAGATATAGTAGAAGAAGAAGCGCTGTCAAAATGCCATCTTTTTGTGCGGTGTACGCTTGTAGCATCCGCACAAATAGAAAGACAAGAGTTTCTTCCGTGTTCCAACTGTGGTCTCATATAAAGGAGGACACTTTGAAAAAATCACTGGAATGAGGCGGGCGAGGTGGATCAAGGCTTTCCCAGATAAGCGCCCCCTGCAGGCCACCCCAATGAAACGCAGCATTTTCTTATGTTTTTTTTATTTTTATTTTTTTATGCCACAAGTCAAGACTCTTTTGAGAAATATTTGTTTGTACTCCCTTCAAATTGAGTGTCCCCGATTAAGACTGTTACAACAACCGTACACCGCACAGGAGGAGAGCCTTTGACTCCAAAACAGACTTTACATGGTTTTCAATGGGAGCATTGCTCATTCGCCCCCTACTGGCCAGTTTAATGAAACCCAAGAATACGTTAAAAAAAACAAGAAACAAAAAAAACCATGACATTTCTTTCTTCAAGGGGTGAATGTTAAAGGTTGACTACAAGTTTTTTTATGTGCTGTAAAATATTTAAAATTTACACTAGGACTCCAAGAATTCTGAAACGACTAGAACTCTCAGAGCCGTCAGTTTAGACTCCTTCCCTTCAAACCAATGGAATTCATTCAAGACATTTTCCCAAAAACGCTTTTTTTTTCACCAGATTTAGAAGTGTTGACAAGGTGTTTACAAGGTAGTGAAACAAAGGCAAAATACTTACTGCTGACAGTAAAGAGTGAGTTGCTATGGTAACTAGGACTGTCTCTTGTCTCGTTAGAATTGAATGATAGAACCACTGGGATTGAAAAAATAAAATATAATAAAAATAATTACATAAAAAAACTACAAATCAATACCAAAGATTATGAAGACTAAAAATGTACATGAGGTGAGTAATCATACTTCCAACATTCAAAAAGCCGTCAGATTGACTGCTCTGGTAATTCTGGGAACCTAAGATCTAAATGTTCATAATGGCTGACGAAAATAAACTTCTGCTAAATCAAAAATATCTAGCAAGGGCACAAGACGGATAATTTCAAACAAACTTGGGTGCAGACAGAAAAAGGACTTAAAAATAAGAATCAAATATTTTCAATGTGATGCCCTTTCGGTCGCTTTAAAGTCACGTTGGTAAAAAAAAAAAAAAAAAGTCCTTTTCAGACTTGTACACACATTAAAAAAGTTTCAAAAGTGCGTTTTTTTATTATACTGATGTGAATATACTGTGCAGAGATTGTTCCTCCTTGGCCTTGACAGTTTACGCTATAGATTTTTTTGCGGAAATGTAAATTCTATTAAACTTTTTTTGTTCACAACATCACAGAAATCGTAAACATTAAAATTGTCTGATATATAACATGCTATTTCAAACCCATTAGGAACTTTGAAGATGCTTGGAAGAACATGAAAATGCACTAAAATTATGGTTTGCCAATTGGACAAATTATCACTTGAACGAAGAAATTTTTTGTTTGTCCTGTTGGTCTTTTCAAAATGTTCATGATCCAAGATAAAAGAATTAAAACAACGACTTGATTCAAAAAGTGACTGCCTACTATTTGGTGAATTATTAAACATGCGGGCCTCACAAAACAAAATATTGTTTGTTTCTTTAAGCACTTTGAGTTGTTTTGTGTTCCAACGGTGCTATACAATTAAACTTGCTGTGTCTGATCTGGCACCTGGGCCTTAAAGCCTGGTTCACACGAGACGATTTTAAAATTGCAGTTCGCAATGAATGAAACATGTAAAACACTTTTTTTTCCTATATTTAAGCGCAGTCTTACTGATGAAACTGTGTAAAATATTACATATAAATATACATCTTTAGGATTGAAACCTCCTTGTTATTGATGAATACGTCGCTTACTAACGCTACTTGTGGTTGGTCATTTGTGGTGGTACTTGAGAGCAAGTATTATTTCTGATGGGGAACTTGGTGTGAAAAGTTTTGAGACCACTGACTTAACATAAATAGAATTTGAGAAACATTTTCTGGGGGCAGATGACAGAAACTTGCAACACGGTTGACAGTATTCGGGGGCAAATTGAAAACAGTCACGCTGGGCCAACTTGGCCCGTGGGCCTCACTTTGGGCACCGCTGCCCTACAGCAGCGGTAAGGAAAAAACTACAAATGCAGTGGGAGGATGCCGGGTTCGGGGGTCCCATCATCACACCCTGAAACATAACAGGCCCGGTTCAATTTCAGCTCAAGCGATTAAATCTGTGTTCCCACTCGATCATACTCTGTGGCAGTTTTCAATGCAAGGATTGCAATATACGTTGCGGCGAGCAGAAGCTGGGGAACGCATTAGATGCATGCAGCTAAAGCAGGAGAAACCATGACCTCGAAACAAGCCGGTCCAAACATTCAATCAGTGGTGGGCTTCCCCCCCCCCAAGGCACGTGGGGTTAAGAGTACGTGTCCAAGGAGCAGTAGACATAAGTGTGAGCAGTTGGAGTAAGGTCTCGTGGGGGGCTGAAACCCCATACCTCCGAGCCCAACGGCCAATGCTCTACAATACTGAGCGACAGTTGCCCCTGCCACCGTGCAAACAGACACTCGAAAGCAACCAAAACAGAGATGAACCAGGAACCTAAACCAGGGCTGACAATGGGGGACCCAGGGCTTGTGAACATGTGTCTTCACCCTGAGTTGACATTCTACTGTACAGTAAAGTGTTGCTAACCGTGTTTAGTCCGAGGCGGAAGGTACCAGCATAAATTCCTCCAGCTCTGGTAGTCTTGATCCTAGGCTGGGCGATATGGCAAAAAAGTAAAATCTCGATTTTATTTCTTGCTTTGATACTTTCAATTTTAAACTGATTTTCATTAAATCACCAAAGATACTTTACCCCTCAAAAAAATGTTTTTGATACTTTCCGCTCAATATTAAAGTTTCAAAACTATGTTTTATTTGTTTCCCAAATACTCTTAGAAAATTCTTGTACAGACTGTCTGCTATGCAGTATAAGTCACAGCTGGAACTCTCACAAGAACATTCATATCGATTGCAACGATTTTCACGATATTCAAATTTTTTCAAAAGAAGCCAATTAATTGCCTAAACTGATTATGGCCCAGCCCTACTTGATCCAGCTGAGTACAACATCTGGAGATGGTTCCCGAGCTGCATTACATGGCAAACTCCTGACAGATGCCCATGGAGTGGCAACAGGATGGGTCAAACGCAGAGGAAAAAGTTTCCAAAGGAAATAATAAAGCACATTTTACATGTACATAAATTTGTTAATAACTTTCTTCCTCAGCTTTACAATCATTGCATTTGCATGAAGCAAATCTGAAAGCCGCCCTTGGCGACACAGAAAAGGCCGGTCGGTGATGTTGTAAGGGGGACGGCGAGAAGCAGACCATACCGTCATCAGTAACTGGCGCATTAAGCCGGTGTCGTGGTTTCAGCGTCACTCCGAGAGATAAAACAAACATCAGCGTAATGGCCTATAGGAAAGCACTATCAAAATATAGGACGAGCTAATTATCTTAAAGTATGCATGACAGAGAGACGCCTCTCCCTCCCCCGCGCAATGCACTGGATCCGGTGAGGCCAGGCACATACAGACCAGATACCTTTAAGGGACAGGACAAGGAATTATTGTATAGTCAAATTTTTGCATTGGTATTTAAATTGAATTGTAAGTGAGTGAGTAAGTAAACTTTATTTTATATAGCGCCCTTCACAGACCAGGGTCGACTTGTATAGTTAAAAAAGCTTGTTGAGTTTAAGTAAAAATGTAAAAATGTAATGGCTTGTTAGTAATGTATTTCTCATTTGAAACTGTTTGATCTCCTGACCGGTTTCTTGGTAAAAAGACATCGTTGTAAAGTCTTCCTGTTTGATTTGGGTTATGCAAAAAACAATTGAAAAGAAAAAACTATCTATTCTAAAACACTGACATAATATACAGTGGTCACCTCGATTAATGTTGGTTTACGGTCTTTATTAAATCTGATTAAAGTTTTTTTTCATCCATATCCTGCATCAAAAGAAATGTTTGGAGGTGTATAACTCCCATGTCATTTTGGTTTGCCTCCTAATAACTATGTTTTGTGAATTCCTTCAGCTCTCTCAACCAAAAAATCAACAACAACAAAAAATATTTTGAGATCATCTGTGAGTTTTTTAGAATAGTCCCAGTAAATAAATCTGGAATTTGCTGATGCTTTTGGTCATTATTTTCTGTTATATTTATGTGTAATACTATGGAAAGTTTCTGAAATCTGTAATTTGCGCCCGCAAAGGTCCAGAAAACAAATACACAGTCCGACCAGAGTTTAGTCATTAAAACAAAGCAACCGTGTTTGGGTGTTTAAGTAGGAATGTCCAATAGGAAACAACGTAACTACATCATAAGAGCGTTTCCCCATTTTTAACTCATTCACCTGCCCATGACGAAAAAACTCGTATGTTTAATAGTAACGCTCACTTCCCATGACAGTTTGAGACGATTTTTCGTGTATTACACGGAGCTGCAGAATGTCTGGCGCACAAAGCGGCCTTGTGACTGAACCACAAATGACTGATATATAGTGCAAATGTACTGTAATGATAAATCAACACCCAGTAAGAATGCATTATTACACCACAGGAGAGGTCATAAGTCAGTGGAAGAGGAGGAAGGAGGAGTGGGG